GAGAGAGAGAGAGAGAGAGAGAGAGAGAGAGAGAGAGAGAGAGAGAGCTGGCTAGCTGCCTGGTTCTTGTGTTAAAAATGTGACTTAATAATAAATGCGTTAAGCGCGATAATAACGCGCTAACTTGCCCAGCACTAATATATATAAAAAGATTATAAATGCTAATAGGTGAGAAGTAATAATGAAAAGGTGATAGTTGTGAGTCAGTGTAAAATAAAGTGTGAAAGTCCTTAATTAACACTGAACTCTCCCGTTACGGAGGAGCCGTTTATGGGATGTCTTCCTGTCGTCATGGGGACTACATGTGACAGAAGCTGTTTTTATTGTTTCATCTCAGTAAAGTTTGAGTTCCTTCAGTCTGCATGTCCTCAGTGCTGAATCATCATCACTCCCATGATTCATAGCTGCCACACTGTGATCTGACCCGTAGCTTCCTCACTGTTTCCCGTTTTACTCCTGAACTAAAGTCAGGTGTTTGTCAGCGTTGGTTCTTTGTGACGTCAAGTTTTATATTCCCTGTTTGAATAAAGACGTCACGTGTAACAAAGTCGACGTTGTTATGCTCGTACGACTTGCTGTTTGAGAAGAATTTAACCTTTTTCTCTGTTAAGGTGTTTATGGCGACGTGATGAGAGTCAAGATTCTGTTCAACAAGAAGGAGAACGCTCTGGTTCAGATGTCTGACTGCACTCAGGCTCAGCTCGGTGAGGAAACATTTAGATGAAGTGAAGTTACTATCAACATGTGGTATTATGTGACAATGATTCAAACTAGTCGGTGAAGTAAGATCAAGTTTAGTTGCTTTAAAAGTTCTGAGAAGAGTTCAGGTCAGAAACTTTATTCAAGTTATTCAGTAAATGTTTGAATCCTAAAATGTCACGTATGTTTTATTTTCAAGTGAAAGGGGAGAGGATGAAAACCACAGAACATAATGTCTTGGAGTAAGAGAAGAGAAAGAAGTAATCCGATTCTTTACTGTCTGGTTTGCAGCCATGAGCCACCTGAGCGGACAGCAGCTCCACGGGAAGTCTCTGCGCATCACGCCGTCCAAACACACCAGTGTCCAGCTTCCCCGTGAAGGCCACGAGGACCAAGGCTTGACCAAAGACTACAGCAACTCTCCCCTGCACCGCTTCAAGAAGCCCGGCTCCAAAAACTACTCCAACATCTTCCCACCTTCTGCCACCTTGCACCTGTCCAACATCCCGTAAGTCCTCCACCAGTCCTCCAACACGACTGAAACTACCTGCAGCATTCCTCTAATGCTCATGTTACTTTGTGTCTGCAGCCCGTCTGTGGTTGAGGACGACCTCAAGATGCTGTTTTCCACCTCAGGAGCCATGGTCAAGGCCTTCAAGTTCTTCCAGTGAGTCGTCCCCCGACCGTCTGCCGTATTCACTCGAGCCCTATCCTCCTTTACCCCAAAGTCCCTGTACTAGTCCTGAACCCTCATCCTTGAATTTCCTTTTCTTGTTCAGAAACTCCTGTGTTTGTCCCGTCCCGAAGCCTTTATCCTGACCCTGTTACCCCATGTCCTAGTCCTGAAGACTTTATCCTGACCCTGTTACCCCGTGTCCTAGTCCCGAAGCCTTTATCCTGACCCTGTTACCCTGTGTCCTAGTCCCGAAGCCTTTATCCTGACCCTGTTACCCCGTGTCCTAGTCCCGAAGCCTTTATCCTGACCCTGTTACCTCGTGTCCTAGTCCTGAAGCCCATGTCCTCATCTTTAACCCTTATCTTTACTGACTGAAGCATTCATTCTTAAACCCTAAACCCTGAACCCTCACCCTTCTTGTCCTGGCCTTTGTATTTGCCCTGAACTCGTACTCCTGTCCTGAAACACTGATTCATACTTTGTCCCAAACCCTTCACTGTATTTGATCATGTGACTTTGTGGACTTCCTGTGTGGTGTGAAATGCTCCTCTTGGTCTCTCCTTCAGGAAGGACCACAAGATGGCTCTGATCCAGATGGGCTCAGTGGAGGAGGCCATCGAGTCCCTCATCGAGTTCCACAACCACGACCTGGGAGAGAACCACCACCTGCGGGTCTCCTTCTCCAAGTCCTCCATCTGAGCCTCAGACTTCCCTGGATGGGGTCCACTACACTCCAATCATTCCTACCAGTCTGCAGGAGCCACCGGGAAGTCTGGTGTGATGTTAACTTATTTTTTAAAACTCAGTTTTAGGTTCTTTAAGAGGATTAGGGTCATTTGAAGAACCATTTGGAGGAAGTCAGAATTCTGGAGTTAATCAGAAGTCGGGAAGTAAAGTCGGTATCAGAAGCCGTCATTCTGAGCTCATCGTCGGGATTTGGACTGTTGTTGCGTTCGTGTATTCGTGTCCTTCTTGTTTTGAAGTTGTTACCTTTTAGCCACTCTTGCCTTTCGACTTTAATCCTGGATTCAAGGATTAGTCAGCCTTCTAAATTTATTTCTCTGGAACGTGGACTAAAGTTATTTTAATCCCGATTTTATTCCCTCAGAATTTTTTCTGTAATCTCAGTTTTCCTGTGGTCCTGATCCTCTTCTCTGAAGTTCCCCCCCCAGACCAGACTTAGTTTGATCAGATGATCCTGTGCCTTATTCCTGCAGTCACGACAACTCTGACGTGTTAAAAGTCAAATGTCCCATCATGCCTGTAGGCAGAGAGCAGGTTTACAGTTGGTAAAGGTTTACTGTTGCTAAAGGTTTACACATGTATCTTTGTTTTATTGGTGTTTTGTACTGCTGGTGACGAGCATCAAACACGTGAACTCTTTCTTGTTTGCTGGTCTTTTGACCTCCGATGCTCTGTTCTTTTCATTTCTTTATTTCCATGTATGCAATCATGTTTTATTCAAATCAAATATTGTAGCAATATTTTAATCATTCCTGAACCTTTGTTTCCGTGGTGTTGTGTTAGATCTGTGAGCTCGTCTCTGAACGGTTTTATTTATTAGTTTGATCCACTACAGCTGAAACCAAAAACGGCCTTTTAGATGCAAACGAACCCGCCGGCCTCAGGTTCCTGGTTTAAAGGACTCAACGAGAGATGGAAGAAGGTGAACTGGTTCAGGCTTTGGTGGGGTTTTACTGTGGGAATGTTTTCAGTGTGACTTCAGTGTAACGTGGAGTGCCTTCAAGACAGACATCGGGTATTAATTCCTCTCTACTCCGAGATGTTAGAAGAAACCACACGGTGCTGTTTGGGTTATCTGTGTCTTAATATTCTCACGTCGACATTCCAGCTGCTCAGACTGAACTGAACGTGATGCATTCAAGACGCCTGGAATGTTTAAATGAGTCCAGATTCAGGTTCTTCCTCCAGAAGTCCTGAATCTGGACTTCTGGACCAGCAGATGAAACCTGAGACATTAGGACGTCTGTGGATCAGAGTTGATGTTATTTCTGTCAATAATCAAACATGTATTTAGTATATATGTATTTGATGATGATGAAGGCCATGTTGATGGGTAAAAGCTCTGGCTGTCTGTCCCGGTGTTTGAGTCTGTGAGGTCACATCCAGCGGACCAATGAAAACGCTTCTGCTGGATGTAAATATTAGTTACACGATGACAAAATCCTGTTTTGTCCCAGGTGATTTGAATGCATCACAGATGTGGAGGCGGGACCAGCCGGTCAGCAGGAAGTGGATGAACTTTGTAGCCCAGTTCTGTCTGTCAGCTGACTGGTGGTTTTATATCTGATGTATATTTTGATTCTGAGCCTTCGACTGTTTGTGTCACAAAAAACAACTAAACAGATTAAATCACTTTATCTAAAAAGGTGTCTCTTTGGTTTCTGGGTAATTATGTAATGTCTCACTTTTTTATGGGAGGTAATACTCATGAATTAAAAGTTCACAATGAGCTCCAGTTTTTACAAGAATGCATCAGTAATAATACTCTAATGACGGAATATCAGTAATAGTACTTGTCACAAACCGGGCCGAACGGCCATGACAAAAAAGGGAGACGCATTCAATGAAACGGTTGATTAAATATTTATTACGTTTAAAGTAATGAAAAAGACAAACATAAACTAACAGTGACATGTGAAGTCAGTCATTTCAGCAGTGTAAGTGAGTGGATGCGTGTAAAGTGTATCTGCAGTGCAGTATTGTATAGTGTAGAAACAAACCATAACCGAAGCCAAAGTGGGTGTCTCAGGAAGGAGCCAGAGCCAACTGAAGATCCAGAGGGTTTTATAAAGGGTGCACTGGCACACAGGGCCAGTGTTGCTAATTGCCTCAGGTGTCCCCACTCTGCCTGACGATCCTCTGCCACACCTGCAAGGAAAGCAGCCACACAGGCAGACAGGGTCGTCACATACTCTAATGACGGAATATCAGTAATAGTACTCTAATGACGGAATATCAGTAATAATACTCTAATGATGAAGACCCAAGGGTTTTGGTCTTCATGGAAAGAGAGGGAGAGAGAGAGACAGAGGGAGACACACACAGAGAGAGAGAGACGTCTGTCCTCGTTGAGGAACTCGGCAGCGTCCCCCAAACATTTTGAAGAAAGTGACGCAAACTCAACAGAGACAGCCCAAACCAAGCAGGGAGAGAAAGAGGTAAGAAAGAGAGAAGACAAGTCACTGCTCTGTTCATTCTGGAGGCAAAGCTGAGCTTATCGTACCCCACCTGCTCACCGACAGCCAGCAAACACCTCCTCCATTGTCACGCTGTTATTCGGGGGACGATCCTCACTCCCTGCCGGAGAAACGGAGGTGGCGTTTCGGAGGACGCCATTCCTCCCGAACGCACCTCGACAGAGCGCTGATCACTCAACACACCAAGCAGTAAAAGACGTTCAAGAAACTCACTTGACCATCCGCCTCAACAGAGGAAGAAACATAGCTAAAAGATCAGAAATCATTCAAATCTAGCGCCACTCGCACTTCCACCGTCTCGTCTCCACTCACCGGAAACGGAGAGAGAAAGACGGTGGCCTGGAGAGAGAGAGAGAGAGAGAGACGGTGGCCGAGAGAGAGAGAGAGAGAGAGAGAGACTGTGGCCTGGAGAGAGAGAGACGGTGGCCTAGAGAGAGAGAGAGAGAGAGACGGTGGCCTAGAGAGAGAGAGAGAGAGAGACGGTGGCCTAGAGAGAGAGAGAGAGAGAGACGGTGGCCTAGAGAGAGAGAGAGACGGTGGCCTAGAGAGAGACGGTGGCCTAGAGAGAGAGAGAGAGAGAGACGGTGGCCTAGAGAGAGATTAGAAGAGAGAGAGAGAAGAGTAGCTGCACCAGAAATGAGCTTCTAAACCCATCTAAGACTTGAACCTGAAAAAGTGAGACAAACTGCATAGATATCTATATGTCAGTTGACAACTAGCTGGCAACTAACTGCAGGCTAACTGAGAAGTAAATAACTGGTAAACTGGTCACCATGGAAACCGGTCAGCAGGCAGCTCCCAGCACACCCATGAGAGCAGAGAGCAGAGAGATAGAGTACCCTGCTACATGTAAAAGTGTAACAGCCAGAGAGAAACAAAAGGAGAAGATATTACGTGAAAACCCAGAGGTCCTCTTCACTGACTATGCCCAACAAAAAGAAGGAAGGAAGAAGAACAACCTCCTCTTCTTCACTGATTCGATTTATATCTGGAAAGATATTCTGTGCAGCAATTATGCATTCGTATCCAGTGAGGGTATTGGCTCAGGAGGCAGATTAAAGATCTGTAAAGATGAACATCTTGACAACGATGACCCTCTGCTTACCATCACATACTACACCAAAGGAAAGGTCATGGTCCAAGGGAATGAAACCAACCTGGAGTCCTTCGAAGAGGTATTCCCACTGTTGAAAGCTGAGATGGATGCCAAGAGGGTCAGTGTCCGCTCTGATAGTGAAGATGATGAGAACCCAGTCGAGAACCTCACCACCCTGTCCATCTCTGCCCCTCCCACACCTGCCAGCTCCACCAACAAGCTGAAAGAGAATATGGCCCTGCTGGAGCTGGACTTTGCTGAATTCAAAGAGCTGACCCAGGCCAGACTGTCTGACCCCCCCAGACAACACTCTGCAACAGCTTAAAGAGGAGCTCCAGCAGCTCAGGAGAGACAACCAGGCCTTGGCATCTGACCTCAGAGGAAGTCTAGAGACACTCAAACAGGACAACAGTCTGCTCCGTACTCAATTAGCCAAAGTGAAGGAGGATGCTGAGAATAGAGAAAGGAGCTTCACCAGACAAGTCCAACACCTGACGGACCAACTCTCATCCGTCCCAACAAAGACAAATACAGAGACACAAACTCTCCCTGCCAGTGTCCCAAACCCCTGCCTTGTCCCTGTCCCACCCCCTCTGCTCTACACTCAACCCAACAACACCCTGGCACCTCCTGATACATCCACACAGCCAGCTACCAACAGCCAGCTCTGCCCCGGATCAGCTTTCCTCGACTCAGCCTGAAGAGCAAGCCCCACAAGTGGTCCTGTTGACTGACTCTAATGGGAAATTCCTGGACACAAACAAGCTTTTTCCTGGTAAAAAAGTGCTTTCTAAACGCTGCAGCACCACAGGCCAGGCAATGAAGCTGTTGAAAAAGGAGACTTTCAGGAGCCCTCAATACATGGTGATCCACAGGAACAAATGACCTGCACAGCCTCCGTAAGAACACTGCTGAAGCAGTGAGGAAGATGGCAGAGCAGGCCAGTAAGGAATTCCCTGACACCCGCATTGTGATCTCCACCTTGCTGCCTAGGACAGACACCCCTCCCCATGTCATCCATGACATAAATATGGAGATCAGAAGAGGATGTGCCCCCTTACCCAATGTCCACCTGGCCTTCCACCCAACCGTTGGCACCTGGGACCTCTATGATGGACTCCATCTACACAAAGAAAGGATGGGGATATTTGCAAAGACCCTTAAAGACACGGCTCTGGGACACAATCTTCCACCCCCTCCGTTACTAGGAGCTTTAGAGACCATCCCAGACCTCCCAGACCGCCCAGAACTCCACCCCCCCACCACCACCCCAGTATGAGGCAGAACCAGAGGAGGCTACCTTCCCCCTCCTCGGCCCCTGCCCTCCAACCCCTTTTACAATATCAGCAGCAGAGATATGCAACAGCACCTGCCCCCTACCCCCCTCCTTACCCACAGCAGCAGAGATATGCAGCAGCAGCACCTGCCCCTTATCCCCCTCCCCACCCACAACAGCGGAGCTATGCTGCAGTCGTAGCCCCGCCTACTGCCACAGTCCCTCCCCCTGCTACCTCTGAGCTGGGAGACATCAGAGAGATGCTGTGCACCCTGTGCACCCGGCTTCTGCTCAGCTAAGATGAACATACTGAGAACACCTTCCCACTTGAATAACAGAACATGGAAACATATTGTTAATCAATAGTGGTAATAACAGCAATAGTAGTAGTCAGTATAGTGGTAATATTAGTGAAAATAGTACATGCCCCCATGAAATTTATGTCAAAATTATTATTATTATCAGTATTGTACATGTATAGATCGTGGTAGGTGTTCTTTATATTTGTCTCACTATACAGGTTCATTTTGATTGTTTTTTCTAAATGCTCTCATTTCATATAAGCTGCTGGAATATTCAAGGTCTCCACTCCTCAACCTTTGAACTGAAAAGTGGAGACCCTGAATTCATGAAATCTATCAAAGACGTTGATATAATTGTGTTAACAGAAACATGGTGTCAAAATGATTTACTCACTCACTGTCCTCCAGGATATAATGAAGTCATGGTGCCGTCTATCAAATTTAAAAACATACGCAAGGGCAGAACATCGGGGGGGATCTTGGTGTGGTATAAAGGAGACCTTTGCCATAAGATCTCATCAGTAACACAGGGTAAATCACACATCTGGTTAAGGTTAGACCAAACTCTGGGCATAACTGATAGGGATCTATATCTCTGTGCTATCTATATACCCCCAGTGGATTCTCCTTATTATGAAGAAGACATTTTTGAAACTCTTCATTCAGAAATCGCCTGTTTCCAGGCCCAGGGAAACGTGCTTCTAACTGGAGATCTAAATGGACGAACAGGAATTGAACCTGATGTCATCGACCCACAGGGCAACAACCATGTGTTTGGTCAAACTCCCTTATTTACCACACCAACCATCACCCACCGGAACAACCTGGACTCTGGAATAAATAAAAGTGGCAAGGAGATCGTGCATCTCTGCCGGGCCTTAGGCCTATACATAGTTAACGGTAGGTTCAGAGGGGACTCTTTAGGTAGGTTCACATACTCCTCAGCTCTTGGATCTAGTGTAGTAGACTAGCAATCACTGACATGGACCCCTCCACTATCAGTGCATTCACTGTCAGACAACAATCCCCCCTCTCAGACCACAACCAAATAAATCTGTTCTTTAAACTCTCAGGTCAAATGAATGACATAAAAAAAGAACCCAGTAAGCTGTTTAAATTAAATGCTACTTACCGATGGGCCCCAGACAGCGGACACAAATTCATCATGGCCTTGAACTCACCTGATCTGATAGATGACATATCAATATATGACCAACAACAATATATCCACACCAGAGACGGTGTAAACAAGGCCATTGATGATATCAATATGATATTTCACAAGGCAGCTATTAAAGCTGACCTTATAAAACAAGCACGGAAGCCTGTAAAAAGGCAAAACACGGAAAAATGGTTTGATCAAGAATGCAAGAGCATCAGAAAAGACCTGAGAAAAATAGCAAATGAAAAACATCGCCAACCAAACAACCCAGCCTTACGCATCAGGTACAATGACATTTTAAACACGTATAAATGTACAATTAGGAACAAAAAACAAAATTATACCCACATGAAACTTGAAGATATTGAGAACGCCATTGATCAAAATCAATTCTGGGATATGTTGAACAACTTCAACACAAAGCAACCACAGGCATTACCCATCCAACATGGTGACATCTGGAGAGCACATTTTGAACATTTGTACAAAGATATACCAATAAATCAAACTAACTCAGACCAATATATTACAAAAGAAAAACTCCAAACATTAGAAGAAATAATTAAAGACAACCAGAACCCCCTTGATTTCCCAATGACTTGGGAAGAACTGAGCACACAGACAAAGTGTCTCCGGCCAAGGAAAGCTTGTGGTCCAGACAGCATCAAAAGTGAGATGCTCAAATGCAGCACCCCAGAGATGCAGGGTGCAGTGTTGAAGTTGTTCAACATCATATTACAATCAGGGTGTTTTCCTGACTCCTGGAGCAAAGGGCTCATTTCACCCATTCATAAGAGTGGTGACAAGTCAGACCCTAGTAACTACCGGGGCATCTGTGTCAGCAGCTGTCTCGGTAAATTATTCTGTAGTATTCTCAATAAAAGAATACTACATTTCCTTGACGAACACTCCATCTTGAGTAAAAATCAAATTGGCTTCCTCCCAAAACACCGGACCATCGAGCATGTATATAGCCTTCATACTTTAATTAACAAACATGTCCACCAAACAAAAAATGGTAAAATATTTGCTTGTTTTATTGATTTCAAGAAAGCCTTGGATTCTATTTGGCATGAAGGGCTCTACTACAGACTCCTACAGTGTGGGATAGGGGGCAAAGTATATGATCTGGATAAATCAACGTATTTGGAAAATAGATGTGCTGTTAAAATTGGAGACAAACAAACTGAATCCTTCACCCAGAAAAGAGGTGTTCGTCAGCGTTGCAACTTAAGTCCGACTTTATTTAATATATATATAAATGAACTTGCTGTTGAGTTGGATCAATGTGCTGCTCCTGGGCTCTCCCTCCTTGAGAGAGAGGTGAAGTGTCTGCTTCATGCTGATGACCTGGTTCTACTGTCTCCTACTGAACCAGGACTACAGCAACAGCTGGACAGAGTGCAACAGTTCTGTCACAACTGGGCCCTGGCAGTGAACATGAAGAAAACCAATGTCATGATTTTCCAAAAACGCCCCAGATGTCAGGAGAACAAATACCAGTTTACCATAAACACCAACATGATTGAACATAGTATGAGTTATAGCTACCTTGGTATCAGCATAACTGCGTCAGGGAGTTTCAACATGGCAGTAAATGCACTAAAAGAAAAAGCTCCAAGAGCTCTACACGCAATTAAGAGAACATTTTGTAATTAAAAATCCAAATTAAAATCTGGCTTAAAATCTTGAACAGTGTCATCCAGCCCATTGTGCTGTATGGTAGTGAAGTATGGGTCCACTCAGTCATCACAGTTATACCCGCTGGACAAACATCAACAGAGTCTCTACATGCAGAATTCTGCAGACACATTTTACACAGAAACACCCCAACAAATGCATGTAGAGCAGAACTAGATACCCACTGATCATTAACATTCAAAAGAGAGCACTCACATTCTTCAATCACCTTAAATCCAGCCCCCCAGACACCCTCCACTCCAAAGCCCTGCGAACCCAAGAGCTGAGCCCAGAGAAGAGTCCCCTATGTCAGCTGGTGCTGAGACTAGCTGCCTCCTCTCAGACACACGGGGACCAGTCTCTCAACAACACGGCTCTCCAAACACCAACCAGAGTAAAACACATCATGGCGAGATGTAAAGAAGCACTGGAGCACTGGAGAGAGGAAACTGGGGGCCAAAGCAGACTGGAATGTGATCTGGCCCTAGAGAGAGACTATGAATTGGCAGAGTACCTCTCTACAGTCAGAGACATGAAGCAGAGACAGAACCTCACCAAGTACAGGCTCAGTGACCATAAAGTGGAGATTGAACCAGGACGACACAAAAAGTCATGGCAACCAAGAGAGAACAGAACATGTGGTCACTGTGGGACCGGTGAGGCTGAGACGGAGATGCACTTCCTCCTAAAATGCAAAACATTCCATAAAATTAGGAACATCTACCTCAACAAATTTGACTCTGTGATTTCAGATTTTAAAAAATGGAGTGATATCTCAAAATGAAAAGTCCTCCGAGGAGAAGGAGAGAGGAGACCTTGCTGCCCAGTATGTACTAACATGCCACAACCTGAGGGACAGCAGGTGACGCTTTGGCGATGCCGTTCCTGGGCGTTCACGCCAATGGAGCAGATCTGAGTTTGGGTTGAATTGGGAGAGAGACGGAGAGAGAGAGAGATCTATCTATCCGTGGATCTCTCTCTCACTTCGCTCCTCCCTTTGCTTCGGTGTCAGAGAGCTGCGGTGGCCTACAGGTAACGTGGGAGCAATGGAGGCTCTGTCTCACACCACTTTATGAGATGTTGTATTAATATTATTGTTATATTGATATTGTTGTGTATTGATGTTATTGTATGTTCAATTTTTTGATGCTTTGGCAATACTGTTTCTAAACTTTCATGCCAATAAAGCAAATTTGAATTGAATTGACTGAGAGAGAGAGAGAGAGAGAGAGAGAGAGAGAGAGAGAGAGA